ATAAGAAGATGCGAAAAATTGACTCTGATGAGCGGGGTGTTACACTCTCAATGATTGTTGCCTTTCGGTAAAACATTCGGGTAACTCTCCAGAAAGATGGTTTCCTTCAAAATTTATAAGCACTACAACTGATGTACTGATACAAAGAAATTCTGACAAACCTCCGGAAAATGAGTTATTGGAGAGATGGAGTTCCAAGGTTGAAGTTGTCATTAGTTGAGGCAGTGGACCACTAAACCTGTTGGAACTCAAATCAAAAACATGCAGAACATCAAAATCAAGTACACGAGAACTAATGGATAAAATCTTTCCGTCGAGTTGGTTATGCGAAAGGTTGAGAAAACTTAAACTCCATAACCAGTTGGGGACGTTTCCATAGATTCCAGTAGACGATAAATCAAGTTCGGAGATACTCTCTTTCTGAGTCTCAAGCCATAGCGGAAATGGAGATCCCAAGTCCCAAGACCTTAGACTAAGCGTGTTTAGTTTGAATGGCGGAATCCAATTGGTGTCGACTTTCAAAGTCAAGTGGTTTCCAGAGGCTTGCAAGACTTTTAAATTTGAGAGATTGGCAAAGTGTGTTTCACTCACAGCCCCTTCCAGATTGTTATTCTCTATCCAAAGCTCTGTCAAGTTCACAAGTTTCCCAATACTCTCTGGTAACTTTCCCCTCAATTTATTATAATCCAAGTACAAGATTTCAAGTGAAACCAAGTTTCCTATGTCGTTTGGAATTACACCGGACAATGAGTTTTTTCCTAGATTAAGGGATCGCAGACGCGTAAAATTTCCAAATTGAGGAGGCATATTGCCAGAGAGTTGATTCTCAAACAAATCTAAAGATAACAAAGCTCCTAAGAAACAATCTAACATATTGTTTCCAAATAAATCAGATATCTCTCCTTCCAACTGATTATAAGACAACCACAAGACTTGAATATTGCACAAATTTGCAATTTCTCTCGGTATTTTTCCAGAAAGTTCATTTTGACTTAAGTCAAGGTACTGGAGCTGTTTGCAGGAGAAGAGCCACTGTGGAATGCTTGAATTGAATTGGTTAAAGGAGAGATCAATGTGTTGGAGTTGTGTGGTTTTGCTCATTGTTGGTATTGGGGCTACAAAATAATTGTTACTCATATCAAGATAGATAAGGTTGCTGAGTTGAAAAACCCACGGAGGGATGACGGCATAAGACAGGGAAATGTAGTTCGGATTCCCAGAGAGATCAAGAGTGGCTAAATTAGAACGGCTGATATTGTTAACATCATTCAGAGCAGCCATCATATTAAGATTACAATCTCTAAAATGCAGCTCGACTAAAGAAGGAAGTTTGTTGATCACCTGTTGTGCCCAGTGGGTTGCTTTCCAGAGGGTCACACCATTCATGTTGAGGTGCTTCAGTTGAGAAAGTCCTGACAACCATTCAAGACTACTGACTTCCAACTGCATCGCTAAATAGCCACGATCAGCCAAACTTAAAACTTGTAAATTTGAAAGATTTCCAATATTATGGGGAATCATTCCATGGAATCCAGCGAATGATAGATTCAAGTACTCGAGGCTTGTGAGCGATCCAATGAAAGAAGGGATTCCTCCCTCAAAGTTGTTTTGGCTCAAGTCAAGATATTTCAAATGCTTCAAGTTAAGCAAAGATGAGCTTATTTTGCCACCTAAGTAATTACCTTTGAGATCAAGTCGAAGAACATGGCCAGTTAAGTTGCTGCAAACAACACCTTTCCATTTGCAACATTCGAATTTAGCATCCCAAGAAGACAACGCGTCTGAGGAACCTTTTAGAGATTGCTTGAAGCTTAAAAGTGATTGTTCTTCATTTTCATGGCAGTTGATGCAGTTGCTTAGTCTGAACGACATGAAAAGAAGGGCCAAAAACAAAGCTGCAGAGATAGAAGGTTTTGGTGCACTCATCATCACTATTTTAATTTGCAGAGTTTTTAATTGGGTTTGGAATTTGAATGGATATTATGCATGCATAATATGTATGCATGCATAAATGACAATTTTACAACATAGTGGTCTGAACACCACTAATAATCTTTCCAAGACAAATTGACTTGAACTTTTTAATCTTACACCTGTTGGGCAAGAATCAGAGGTTTTTGTGTGAACAGTTTTAAAGCTTCACTCAAACTTTATGAAACTTTGTAAAGCTTCCCAGGAACATGATGCTCTTGATTGGCGACGATTAATTCGCCTTGAGTCGACAAGTGACCTTGTAGTACACCGTTCGATTATAAGAGTCGGTTTAATTATTGTATGTCTGTGTGAATTTATTGGCATATTGATGTTCTGTTAGCTCGACAAATTCTTTCATGTTCATTATGGAAATCTAGATGTCACCATCTATTTAATCTAGTAAGTTAAATAATTTTCATAGATGTCCTAGTCTACCTAAATTATTCCGATATTTTTGTTTAACAAAAACAATATTAAGGTTGATTTATATATTAAATATATAAAGTAAGATTAATAATGATTTACCCATTATTTTTCAAATAAACTAGGTTGGACACCAGTCGGTTAGACTGGTAGGATCGATACAATTTTCTAAATAAATTTTGTTACATTTAAAATTAGTTTAAATGAAATTACATATTCAAATAAAATAGAGATTTAGGAATTGTTTATCAATTTGTTTAAACATTTGAATTTATAAGTTTTTTAGATATTTAAGTAACACCGTTTATTTAAATTTATTTCAAAAAGTATCATATATATTAAAATGCTTACAAATTAAAATATAAACAAACCACAAATGATTTAATAAAATAACTTGATCGTTTCGATGGTAGTCCAATTATGAAAACCTTATATTTACTGTACATAAATAAAAGTTATAATAAAATATTATTTTATTCACATAAAATATTAATAAAATGATATATAAATATTCATAAATCATTAAATATGTTGTAATAAATGTAACACACCCCACCTTACTGTAAAATCAGAGTAACGCAATAATTCGCAAAGACTTTGAAAATAAAAACCTTTTTACTTTGCGAAAACTGATTCGGGGTGCTACCGTGAAAAATCC